TCGCCACAGTAGCACTGTTGCTATTTCCGACCTGCTACCTGTGTGAGGCGGGGCTTTTCTGCAGCAACGGCGACAAAAACCAAATTACGAAGTAGACTTGACATAAACCACACACTTGAGGTGTCATTGTCTCCTATTATCCCGAGATGGGACCGTCTGGTTGCAGAAAATCAAGCTCGGTGCTGTGGTGAGTCGTCATTTTCATGCACTTTGAATTTGCGTTGTATCGTATTTTGAAGGCATTAAACATTGCCATAGCGATCGGAGTGTTGCGGCCAGATTAGACGCTCCTTGTGTTTATTATTATATTTCGAAAACGCCACAGTTTTCATGCAGCTCATACCATATTATTTCGTTGTATTATTTCCGCCACACCTTAAATGCCGGTCCCTGAAGTGAAAATATTGTCTGACATGAACCGGTACGTGGGGCAAAAAAGGTTGGGGGCCCCTGCTGTACAGTATATGGAGTTATATGGCTGTTAGTACCCTCTACTGACAAAGTGCTGATACAACAGTTTATAGAAAATTCCACAGCGTGTCACTTACCTGAAAAGAATAACGGACTTCACATCAACACTGGTCTATTTCCCCTGTCATTTTTGTGGCTGAAAATGGAGCTTTGTTTACATTGAGTAACTGTAAGTGATGCCAGCCTTGAAGTAAAAAAAAATAATAAAAAATCGGTGTGGGAGGGGGCATCATGAGTGGTTTTTCAAGAGAAACATAAATTACATCTTAATGTATTTTACTATTTCAATATTATAGCAATCAAAACCTGCACGTTTTTTTCTTCTTTGCAGTTTTGTAACAGATGTTGCCAATGTGGGTGGCACGTGAGCGACTGGTTAGCAAGTCCGCCTCACAATGCAGAGGTGCAGGGCTCCATTCCGACTCCGGCCTTCCTGTTTGAAGTTTGCATGTTCTCCCAGTACCTGTGTTTTCTCTAGGTAGTCCGTTTTCCTCCCACATTCCAAAAACATGCATGGCAGGTTAATGGAACACACTAATTTGTCCCTAGTCACGTCAAGTCAAGTCAGCTTTATTGTCAAATATGCCTTATGTGCAACATACAGCACAGATGACATTTCTTTCCTCTCAACCACAGTGTAAACATGCAGTGTATTGAAAACACACACAGGTAAAAATAAGGGCAGCGAAACTGACCTGCATAAAAAGACATAAAGACATAAATATATAAATATAAACAAATAAAACAATGAATAGCAATCAACAGACAACCAAGGGCACTTGTGATTATTGCGGGTTTGTTTGTTTGTTTGTTTATTGAACATATATAAAACATACAATAACATGACAAAATGCAAACAAAAATTATGAAAGGAAAATAAAAGTAAAAGTAAGTAATACAAACATCATCACAGTTATATGTTCAAAGGAGTAGGAAGAAGTATACAACTTATCTAGTCCTACCCCTTGTTGTGCAATAATGTATATTGATCATTTCCAAAGAAAAGGAAGAAATCTAAATTTCATCAAATACTTTTACCCTTTTGTGTACTATGCTTATCTATTGATACACCTTTCGGTTTGTATATATGTATCATTGTTCTTTCTACTTTTTATATCAAATGACTCATATTCATTATATTTACTGCATTTCTTGAATACATTCAATAAGTTGTTCAAAATCCAGAACAGGAACAAACCATAGTATTACTATATTTTATAGGTACCAGTATGTAAAATTTATCTTCTTAACTTTGTTTTATGTAGTTTTTTTGTACTAATCTTTTAAATTTGTTTTTGAACTCGTCCAACGATTTACTCATTTTCAGATCCATCTCAAGCTTATTCCACAGATTAACTCCTATTCCTGATACACACCTTTGCTTGATGTTTGTTCTTGTTCTGGATTTTTTGTATTGATTAATACCGCTTAGATTATAACAACTATCTCTGATTTCAAAAAGCTTCTGGATATTTTGACAAAGGAGATTGTTATATGCTTTATACATTAATTGGGCAATTTTGAAGTCAACCAGGTCATAGAATTTCATTGTATTTGATTTGATGAATAGTGGATTTGTGGGTTCTATATATTTAGACCAATTGATTATTCTGATTGCTTTTTTCTGTAGTTTTAAGACAGAAAGTTAAAGGGTTAAAGTTAGGTAGTGCATTGTGTCATTTTAAGTGCAAATGGTGGTTGTCAACTATTGTCTAAATTACTGTAATGACGGGTTTGGTAACAAGAAAATGTTTACAATATCACTCTTATTTATTTACATATGAAAATACGAAATTTTGGTCGAGATTTTAGCAAGCATCATGGAAGTTGACATGTTTGATTTGCTTTTGCGGGACACATAAAATGATGTGGCGGGCCAGATCTGGCCACGGTGCCTTGAATTCGACACGAGTGAATTAGGGCATTCACATGGAAAATGAGTCTCTACTTACGAAATTTCTTCCGGAACCAATTAATTTAGTAAGTAGAGGTACCACTGTAGGCATTTTCAAATGGTTTGCCATATACTCGTTTACCTATAAATGTTGCAACTGTTAGCTAGATACAAAGAAAACCAGTCAAATAAAGTAGGCAATGTGAGGCCAGGGCAACAATATACAATCTAGTCACACCAATCTGAAGGAAATGGCACAACAGAAGACACCTACCCCAGCTGTCTTCCTTCGGGCAGCAGACGGGGTACACTCTGAACTGGTTGCCAGCCAATCGTAGGGCTCAGCGAGACAAACACTAACCATTCAAACTCACAGTCACACCTAGGGAAATTTTGAGCGTTCATTCAACCTACCATGCATGTTTTTGGAATATGGGAGATAACCAGAGAACCCGGAGAAAACCCACACTGACATGAAAACATTCAAACTTCACACAGGAATGCCGAAGCCTCGAGACGATGCTGGGACCTCTGGACTGTGAGGCAGGCGTGCTCACTAGTCGTCCACCGTGCTGCCCATATTTCAAACAGATGTTATTATATTTGCATTTCAACTAAAATAATTTAACAGTTCAAAACTATTTTTTTTAAACCTGCGCTGGGTCAAAGAATTTGATCAAAAGATGATTTCTAAAACATATGGCTTTGATGACAAAACATGGAAACATAAAACTCATTCATTCATGAATGAAGGAACCCCAGTATGAGTTATGAAGGAGATGCCTGACTGAACAAGTCATTCCCATCCCCCAAAAAGAGATCTTTCTTTTTCTCGAGAAATTGTGAAGAATGAACAGAGGTTTACAACTGCATTTCCTCTTTCGGTCTTTGGTGAACTTGTTGGAGCTTTGCAATTATGTTTTTTAGGCCAATGTTCAAGGCTGTAAATTCCATACGAGCACTTAAACATGGCACAAAAGGGCAGCTGTCGTTTTGTCACTTAAGGCTAAAAGCCTTTTAAACAATGCCGGCAAACTTGTATGCTTTACACTAAGGTGCAAAGCATACAAACATACAATGTTTAATTGACCGCTCGTTTGGGAGCCACATTGTTTTAACCAGATTAACACACATGGGCAGATGAGAGCTGCAAGTCGCTTATTCCATCAGGTTTTTAGCATACTTTGTTGCTATTGTTTTATGACAATCAATAATAACAATAATCATCATTTTGATCATAATCACAACAATAATAATTGGGTGGCACGGTGGACGACTGGTTAGCACGCAGGCTTCACAGTGCAGAGGTGCATGATTCGATTCCGGCTCGGCCTTCCTGTGTGGCCTTTGCGTGTTCTCCTCGTGGCCGCGTGGGTTTTCTCCGGGTACTCTGGTTTCCTCCCACATTCCAAAACATGGAGGGCAGGTTAATGAAACACTCTAAATTGTTCGTCGGTGTGAATGTGAGCGCGAATGGTTGTCCGTCTACATATGTCCTGCGATTGGCTTGCAACCAGGATGTAACCCGCCTCCTGCCCGAAAGATAGCTGGGATAGGCTCCAGCACGTCCCATGGGAGGATAAGATGATTATAAAATGGTTTGATGGATTTATTATTATTATTATTAATAATAATAATCATCATCATAATTATTTATATCATTATTATTATGTTTTTATTTTTAGTGTTATGAGATCGTTTTTCCTTATACGTAAGTGAAAGTAGTCATCGTCTCAGTCAGACGCTAGCTCAACATCTCGCGAGAGCTCAGCACGCCTTCGCCACTCGACATTTCAGTGTTCACGTTGACATCTCGCGATGTTGACTAAGTGACGGTAGTAGGAAAAGGAGTTGGAGGGGGCGGGGTGCAGCAGAGATATTTGGAGGCTTTTTTTTTTAAATATAAAATTATTTATTTAAATAAAAATGGCTGCCGTGGAGAGCGAGGAGGAGAGAATGTACGTAAGCTGCTTTTTAAAAAAAATATTTCATCATCTGGTAAAGCGTTGATGTCTTGGCCGCCTCCGCCATCTTTTTGTCGTCTTTTTTATATCACTTCGAAGTGCGTTCATTTTACACCGGCCTTTCTCGGCGGTGCGAGCTTAACTGGAATACGTCACCAACTTCCAGCTTAGTGTCTACTTTACCTCCCGTTAGGACTCGTCAGTTTGCTCAACCCGGTTTCCGCGCCACTCCACTGAGTCCACCCCGGACCCGAGTTGAGCAGACGTTTGTGCACGCTTGGAGGTTGGCCCGCGGGATGGCGATGCCATGCCCGCCTGCCGCCTTCCAGCCTCGGGCACTCAATGGTATTAGCAAGCAGGTGTCTTGCAGGCTATTAGCTAGTCATTTACTCAAGACTAAGTGTTTTCAATGGTAGTGAATGGGTATTCATGAACCTGTGTACTTGCCGTTACATGCCCATAACCCTTCCGGTCAGCATCCTTAGCCCAAGTGCTGCTGAGCCAGGCGTCACATGCGCCTCCTGTTGTCACCACTTAAACCTCGTAGAGACATGATCACAGTTTAGGGTGAATATGTTAAGCTGCTAAAAGTGAGTGACTTTACCTCTCGTGTGTGGCCTATTGTTCTCACCAGCTCACCTCTTATGACTTCTGCTTCAACTTCATCTTCGTCATCCTCACCTCAAACCAGAGGACTGCCTCCCCCCACCCCCTGCCAGCGGTGCTGGGCTCAGTAAAAGGGGCTCCACCAAAAACACAACACTATTGTTGAACCCCTCTGATGTAATGCAATTCAGAATTCAACCTCAAACACACTTAAAGTCACACAAACAACCTCAGAGTTCAAGCTGCCACTTCATAATGTCACCGCAGTGTAGAGCTCAGTTCAGCGAGCTTCAAAAAATTGGAATGTTTTGCCTTTTTGTGACAATTACTCCAAATGCCTTTTGCTGTTAAACAGGAAGATTATATATGGCTGAGAGTGGCTGATGTTGATTGGCTGAGAAGCAGGAAACAAGTGGAGTGTGCATGCGACAGATGGTGTTGCAGTCGGTTACAATTACTTTCTATGTTATCAACAAGAATTTCAGATTGTCACTATGCTACATTTGTTTAGATTTGTTTCCGTGAACAGTGCTTAACTTCTTTTTACATTCGTGTGACAGTTACGCTGTAATCGGAGTAACAGTGCTAAAAACACAAAATGTCATTGATGACTCTCTAAACACACACACACCCATACACACACACTTTTTTCTCACTCGCTTGTGATATAAGTTCACAATAGTAGTCAAAGGGTATATGTAATTGGAACCTTTCAGTTCTATTTTAAAAATCACTTCTTGTAAAAGAAAATACTCGCAGATGGCCAACTTTATGTACCTGTTGTCTGTCCCTCGGTGGTTGGTTTAGTCAAGGATTTTAAAAATGTTTATTGTTTAATTGTTGAAGCCGCTTTTGAAGACAAAACTGTTGGAGAATATTTTGTTGAAGATACTTAGAAGTGCTCTATGTACTAATTGTCTGGAAGCTGTGTGAGCATTTTTTTTACATTTACACTACATTGCGTTAAAAGCGGTTACGGTTGACTTTTAGTGGTGAGGAAGACAGTTGTGGCCTACAGTAGAACTACCAGTTGTGGTTCAAGATCCAAAATAAATTAGTGCTGTTACCTTTGAATATTTTTAAAATTGACAATTCTAGTGATGATATTCTAATAAAACTAATAATTGCATAAAATTTCATTTTGTATTGAATTGTATTCCGAAACAATTTTTTTGCGATTTGCTCTTTATTTGGTATTGTTTAATGACAAAAACTAGCTAAACAACAACTAAGCAATATCGCTCAAGAGGGACTGATGTACTCACCGAGTGTTCTGGTTCCGTTATTGCTTCACTCATTGTTTTCTAAACTAAACGCAGATGTTTGCAAATGTCCTATTTTGATTAAACACAAAACATTATGAAAAGACTGTTTGTCTGCTTTTGTGAAGGACTATAGAAATTACAGAATAATTACGATTGAGATTTTTTTTTGGCGCTTATTCCTCAATCTGCCCTGTTTTTTTCATATCAGTTTTAAATAATAATAATCATCATTATAATAATAATAATAATACTATTTAACATATGGTAAGATATTAAATAATATTCATAACCTAGGGTAATTGATTAATATTAATTATCAATGTTTTATATTAATTCAGAAACAGGTAGATTTTTTTTCAAAAATCCATATTACACAAGCTTTTATTTAATTTAAAAAATAAGAAATAAAATATCTCAAAAACCTGATCTAGAAAAAAGTAAAGATGTTTTTTTAAATCAGCGTCAACATTATGCTTAGGGACACATATAGCCATCTCTGATTAAAATTTGCTGTTGACCATTGTTCGTAAAATGGTTGTTAACTAATTTGCAAAATTTTATTGGTTTGTCACTTGATTAATTAATGAACACCTCTACAACAGTCGCGTTCATCAGGGCCTTCAAGGCTTTGTGTGCAGGGGCAAACACGATCAGAAGAACAGATCCTATATTTACAACTTCGATGAAATGGTAACGATTTCGTTCCAACAGTGTTTTGTCTTCATTTCATAGCTTGTGTCAAGGCCGGGCGGCTTCTAGTCATTTGTGGATTCATTTTTCTTGTCCAAACAGATTTCATATTCGATGTACATATTATTTCGTCCAGTGCCTTCACAATCTCAAGTGCAGGCGTCGAGCACACTCTTGAAATGGCTGGTTCTTCTTGTAGCTAATGAGTTTGTTGACTCACCTCAATAAACCCATCCCGCAGGTCTTTTGACGACTGTGTCTCTCCGTCCTGTCATTGGTTTAGCTACTATCACTTCTGATTGGTTGAGCTCTATGTGCGGCTGAAGCTTCATTTAGGATGGAGGACAATATCGGACCATGATTAAAAATTCACTTTCAGGGTGCACTTTTGAAGAAAAACAACTTTAAAAGGCTAGTTCATCCAACATTCAATCCAGAATTTTTTCGGGGGCGCTTTCAGAGTAGTTACCGGTATATATAAGTGGAACAGTCAGCATACAAAGACAGGCATAGCATTAGCATCTGTGGTGAGTGCGGTTATTATGCTAATTTTTTTTAAAGTTTTTAAATTGATTGTGAAGTACTATTGTATATTGTACTGTAGAGGTTTGGATTTCCTGAGGTGATGTTTTGGAAGATAAGGGTTTTTTGGCTATAGTAATATTCTACAACATGTGAAATGCTCTTCTTTAAGGCCACAGGATAGCGACTGGAACAGATAGCGACTTTTGAATGTGTTTAACATTGTCACACTCCTACTTTGAATGATATAAACGCAAGGAGGCCATCAGAGACAAGTACATTTGCTCTTCGTTTCACTTGCAGTCAAAATAAGCTGAGACTCAGAAAAAGAGGGGAGGAATTTAAAAAAAACAAAAAACAAAAACGGTTTAGAAGTTCCGCACAGGTAAGCAAGCGTGCGTTGAAGATGACTTCCTGTAACATGCAGACTCTGACCGCCTTAAAGAGCGGAAGGATTAGAGTGCGTGGTTTCTCTTGTGTGAAGTTCCATGTCAATCAGATCACAATAATTTAATAATAATTTAGCAACGTACGATCACTTTTCATTCATGAGGCGTTTCATAAAATTCATGTGTCATGTAAAAGTAGGAGATAGTAAAAACAAAACAACGTTGTTCAGTTTGAAGAATGGATTACACGGAGTATGGTGATGCTGGGGTCTCAATGTTTTGAATGTTATGTCCCTTCTTGTGTGTATTATTTTCTCACCTACTGTAAAACGGCCTTTGTTAAGGGTACTCCTTTTGGAATAGGTGCCACCACAAAAACAAAAAGGTGATGTGAGTCACATCTCTGGAGCTATGCTGATGTCTCATGCATGACACTGTTTTGGACTGAACTTTTATATAACTTGGTTCTTTTTTCTTGAACAATCTTCTGAAAAGCTGAATTGTACAAGGCGCGTTGGAATTTAGAGGTCCCGCCATATTTAATGTAATTGTCATGTTTTTGATATCTTGAAGATGCACTTGAAAGAGAAGGAAAAGGAAGGGGTGTAGATAGTAATTCATGACTGTTCTTGTCAGTGATTATGTTGCAACTCACTAACTCATCTATTTGTGCAATGTCATCTGTCTTCCACAGAGAGGAGGCCACAGAGGGCCAAGAGGAGAGAGAACGGCCACACAGTAAGACTAAGAAGGCTCGCAAAGAACAGCGCCATGTTGAACAGGTGGCCATATCTCAGGAGCCCTTGCCCTCATCAGGGGTGGAGATCTCGGTGAGTTAAGACCGCGCCAACAGCGTCATCACTTTGATCATGGAACATGGTTGTGAAGTATGTTTATTGTCGTGCCTCCCTGGTAGCAGTCAGAGCCGATGGCGGGGCCCTCGCAAGCAGCAACCGGTAGCGAGTCTGCAGGATCTCCCAGGCAGCGGCGCTCCATCATCCGAGATCGCGGACCGCTGTACAACGACCCCTCGCTGCCTGTCGGCTGGACCCGCAAGCTCAAGCAGAGGAAGTCCGGACGCTCTGCAGGGAAGTTTGACGTCTACCTGATCAAGTAAGATGCACTACAAACATGGTGCACCCATCCTGTTATTGCGGACCTAAGCTAGGAGCTTTTATTTTTGCGGCAAAGCTCGGAGGGAAAGGCTTTCCGGTCCAAGGTGGAGCTCATCGCTTACTTCCAGAAGGTCGGTGACACCACGACTGACCCCAACGATTTCGACTTCACCGTGACAGGACGCGGAAGCCCCTCCCGCCGGGAGAAGAAACCTCCCAAGACACTAAAAGTGGTCAAACCTTCTGGTAGAGGCCGTGGAAGGCCCAAAGGTACAAAATGGTGGCAGTGTACAATGTTTAATGGTACGTACGGAGCGAACACAAACCTGGTGACGGCCTGTGTGTGCTTTATCTTTAGGCAGCGGGAAGATACGTCAGGTTACGGAGGGTGTAGCTATGAAGCGCGTGGTTGAGAAATCTCCTGGAAAACTGTTGGTCAAAATGCCATACAGCAAGGTGGAGTCCACTGGTGAGACCACACCCACCACTTCAAAGGTGCGAAGTGTGGCGTTTTCAGGAATGCTGCATATCATACGAGAATATTCATAACTTAGTGTTGGAATGTGTTAATGAAAAGAAAAGAGTCTTACTTGTGGGCGTGGTGACTCCCTTTCAGGTGTCAGCTCCTGCCCTGCCGTCAGTCAAGTCACGTCCAGGCAGGAAGAGGAAATCAGAACAGGATCCTCCTGCTCCCCTGCAGACTACACCCAAAAAACGTGGCAGGAAACCAGCCTCAGCTTCAGCAGCAGCGACAGCTGCCACGGCATCTTCCTCTTCAGCATCAACCTCTGGTATGTCAGCAGCAGGGAGCTACGCCGCCATCATGGCCGCTGAGGCCAAGCGCAGAGCCACGAAGGAGTCTTCCAGCAAACCTGTTGTCCAGGAAACAGCCCTGCCAATCAAAAAACGCAAGACGAGAGAGACAATTGAGGAGAGGGAGAAAGTTCAGACTCCAGGATCTAGCACCACCGAACCTGGAAAGATGGCGCCCTCCGAGGGGGAGACCAGTCAGAAAGAATCCACACAAACTACCCAACTTGCCTCTTTGGAGGGGAGCCAGTCCCAATCCCAGAGGCTGCCTTCTGCTCCCCAAGAAAGTCACTCACACGGACATAAATCGCACAAAGGGAGGAAGCACAAGGAGAAGAGTGGAACAGCAGAAAGTCAAGAGGAGGAAGTGAGCGAAGACATTGATGAAAAAGGAGGAAAAGGTGGAAGGAGTAGTAGCAGTAGCACGAGTCCGTCCAAAAGCCACAAGAGGAAGGAGCGCTCGCCACACAAACATCATCATCACCATCATCACCATCACCATCATCGTCATCATCACCGCCACCAACAGCACTCCCCTTTGCATCATCCTCATCCAGCATCTGGACCCGCCTGCAAGTCCCGACCCAAAACCGATCTACACACTGAATCCCAGTCCACTGCCCCCAAACCACCTCCCCTTTCACACCCCTCGCCTCAACCCTGCCCACTGCAAGCACTCCAGACCTCGTATCCAGGTCAAAGCCAAGCTCTGTCCCAAGTTCCAGTTACTCAGTTCTCCCCCATCAGGCATTCCCCTCCTCGGCCACACCCCCACAAAACATCACCATCAGTCCAACACAAAACTCAGCTTGCAGTTCACCATGCTTCACCTCCATCAATCTCGCAGGTCCAGCCCCCACAGACAAAGAATCCTCATCCACAACCCCAGTCCCCAGTAATGCTCCAGTCTCAAACCCAATCCAGAACCCACTTTGAGACTCAACCACTTACTCAACTCCAAACTCAGATCAGGACGCATCTCTCAGCCGACCCGCAAATACAGCCTAGAACCACGGCCCAACCCCATCTACAACACCAGTCCAGAACCTGTGCCCAAACGCAATTCTCGTACAGTTCACCCACACAGACTCAACTTTCGACAAAGATGACCCCCCCTTTGCAACACCAACTTCACATTGAAAGCAGACCACAAACCAGACACTCTCTCTCAGAGTCCAGGCCCCTGCCGGCCCGAGCGCAACTACATTTGCATCAGATTCAACCACAGATGCCCAGGCCGCAATCACAACAACTCCCACTCCAACAACTATCTCTCCACATGAGACCCAACATGGTCTCTGCTCAACAGAGCGAGCAACCTCAAGACCTGAGCACCACACCCTCCACTCGCAGCCAGGAGGGGGTGTCCAGAACCGAAATACGAGTTGAAGCAGGACGCGTCTCAGAAAGCAGAGAGACAACTGGGGAGTCGAACAGCACTGCGATGCCTTCCAGCTCAATCTGCTCCAATCCTCCTGGAGGAACAGGGACAGAAGAGGGTGTCAGTGTTGTGTCCGGGGCAGAAGGCAGGGCGCGGCTACGGGCGGATTCGGAGGCGGTGGACGAGAGCAGGGAGCTCAGAGACATGGTCCCTCCATCTGCCGTTCCCTGCCCCAGCCGAGAGGAAACAGTCGAATCTCGGACTGCCGTCAGTGAAAGAGTCAGCTGATCAGTGGGTGCATTTGGAAGCGGAATCCACCTTTGTTGTGGACTGAGATGATACCAGTGAGGGCTCTTCCTTCATCTTTGTGCACTGTTGTTCCACGGAATGACCCTTTCACTTTTTGTCAATGGAATGAGCGCTAAGCTAGCACTGACGATGACTGAGAATGGATGGTGTCATTTTTTTAGGGGAAAAAAAGGAAAATATAGATTTAAAGTGTGTGTGTGTGTGTGTGTGTGTGTGTGTGTGTGTGTGTGTGTGTGTGTGTGCGTGTGCGTGCGTGCGTGCGTACGTGTACATAATCAAAAGGCAGCTGTTATGTCCCGCTCGTTTGGGTGGATGAATTGGGGGGGCAGTTTGAAACTGAAAACAAACGGCTGAGTACACATTGTCTCCAACAAAATGTTCCTTGCAGAATATAACCTGTTTATTTTATTTTGTATTTTTGAAAGTTGATTTCGTCTTTACAGCTTTAAAGTTCAATGTAATTGACAGATACTCCGTAGCACGTGACTGTACTGCTGACTGAAACTGCCTATTTCAGTTGAATGGCTTCATCAAAGACCTTATTTGTTTTCTCACCTCTTCCAGCGCCCCCAAACTAGTAGCCACCAGTTCTACACTTTGTCCAGACACCTGATTTTGAAGACTTGCGCTGACAAGTACTGGAATCTTCCGGCGTGATATTCAAACTGACATCCTATAGTCGATTTACACATGAGTCGGTCTTCCATTTTGGTTGTGTTTCCCGAGGAAGCACGCGTTTCGTCAAAGCGAACCACAGGTAACTTCTTCTTCACCTTGGTTCTGATTAGAGATTCCTCTTTGTCTTGAATGTTGTGGAACAGCCTCTGGATAATTTGGGAGTTGAGATCCATCTTATTCCATCTTACTGTTTTGCCAAATGAGCCGAACTCCTCTTGCGGTGTGGGAGCAGCGCCAAACTACATTCACCACCATATGTAAATGGGAATTCTACAACTTTAACATTCTGAACCTATTTGGTTGGATGAAGCAGGAGATCTACTGATTACTTAACATGCACACATCGCAGGTTTTGCTTGTAGTTGCGGGGCAGGGGTCGACAAGCCAGAATTTAGCAGGATTCACAGACCGTTTGGATGATAAAAGTGGTCCCTGTTTGTTTGTTTGTTGTTGTTGTTTTTTTTTTTTTTTGCTGCTTTTTTGGAATGTTTTGTCTTCCTCCCATCTTGTGAAGATACAGATAAATTTGTGACAGCGCGAACAGGTTTTCCTGTCTGTTTTCACTCATATTGTAGTCGTTATATCCTGTCAGAATGTGTTGTCATTGGTCACAGCGCAAGAGAGTTTTATCCTAAACAGAAACAGTACAGTTCTTGGAAATAATGGTAGCCTGTGCCCTTCTTCAGTTTTGACAAATTTGCAAGACGTTTCGTCTAAGTGTCCACTTCTGAATTGGAACGTTTAAGAAAATCAAGGAAATGTCTGATAAGATAACCTTAATTCATCCATTAATGGGGAAATTTGTGGATCGTGGATGCTGTTGCCATGGATGTCATGCACTGATGTGACACATGACACATAATGAAGCCTTCCACACGACAAGTAAATGTTAGAGAGTGTCATCGGTGGAGGAGCTCAGATTTGACCCAGTTTGTTTCGGTATCGCCCAATGGTACCACAAGTGAAAGAAATTGCATCCTAATCGCTCATGAAGGATGTCAATCAAGCCAAACATTCAAAAATGTTCTCAATGTTCCGTTTGGAAGGGATACACTCATGCAGTATTCCTACATTTGCATCTTGGCATTCTTCTGACAGCTAGGATGTGGTGACATTGGAAAAGTGCACCTCACTTGGGAATCTTCCCGCTGGATTGTGGGTCACCTGACGACCCAAGATCACCTTTGTGTTTGTGGCATTTGGTGGCCATAAGCCCCTTAGCTGGCCTTTGTCAGACCGAATGGGACCAGTGTAAGCAGCCGCCATATTGCATGTTCCAGAGTCTAGTGCCTATAACCTTGCGCATCTTGCCGGAAGCCACCATGTCAGCCAGCAGCCATGTTGTTCCTAGACTTAGTAGTGATGTGTGGTGACCTCATAGCTGCTGAATAATAATACTCTGCTTTCAACTCAATGCACTGTCACTGTAGACTCACTAGTTTTTACCGGGTTATAAGTTGTTTTTCTTATTAAAAGCGTTTGTTGTCCCCCTACAAGTGTCCTTGTCTCATCAAGACTCTCTCACACACACACACACACACCGTCTTGAAACAGTACAATTTCGGAAGAATTTTCACAGTTCCCCGAACACCTAACCTCATGTTACAGCAAAATAAAATCCAAGATAATTTTTTGTGTGTGTGTGTGTGTGTGTGTGTGTGTGTGTGTGTGTGTGTGTGTGTGTGTGCGTGCGTGTGTGTGGGTTCAGGGAACTGAGTAAATGTGTAGATTTTATTTAGGAAATGTATTGGCGTGAAAGTAGGTAACTCTAATTGCCCCATGGGGATAAATAAAGTTTTCTGAATCTGAAATTAAGCCACAGAGCTGTGGTACAAACATAAGTATATACAAGGACTGGCCAAAATGGACAACATTTCATATCTCAAATAATATTACAGTGGGTTAAGCAAAAATTAACCCACTCCCTCCCAAAAAGTAAAATTTCAATCTAAAAGGATATGGAAAACGGAATTTTTACTAGACTATTTAATGACAGTCATGAACATTCACAAAGCAATTAATTAAAAAAAAAAAAACACACATTGTACTTCAATAACTTTTTTTTAAATCCACAAAAAGAAAGTATTTGTCTCATGTGTTGTTTTGTATTATTTTGTCTTTTTTTTTTGTTAACTTTTCTTTTGATAGCGGCGCGGAGACCCACAGCGGCTCCTCTTGTTTTATGTTGAGAGGGAAGAAATTTCATATGTGCTGGATGTTACACATACAGTACATTTGACAATAAAGTTTATCCAATCCAATCCAATTTGCTGCAGATATAGGACCGGGATGAAAATCACGAGGAAAGTGTGGACATTAGGGGTGTAACAAAAACCCGGTTCTGAAGCGGAAAACCTTTTTTTGATTGAAAGGATGCAAGGATGTCGAATCGAACTGAATGATTCTACTTTGAAATGTATCTTTTCGTGCGGAAAATACGGTGTGTATATATATATATATATATATATATATATATATATATATATATATATATATATACACACACACACACACACACACACATATATGTTCAGTTGGTAAGGCACAGGTTTGGCATGCGGGAAACGGGGGTTTGAATCCCGCTTGGGGCAAAAAAATGAGCACATAACACCATCCAGTATGGGTCCTTTGGCAAGACCCTTTAC